ATTATTCGGATATTTTACCGATACCAAAGTATTGATAAAATACACAATGTTCTTATTTACGGTGTACAATTATATTCAATTAGGGCACACACGTGGCGCAGTGAGATAAGGCGGCAGTGTACCAAAGCACATTAGCTGGTTCGAATTTCGACCACTGGCGGTTTATTCCTTCGACTGTCTGGGGAAAGAGAAACGGCCACCTGCACATCTCTCTGGGGTCAACTTGTCTGGTAGCCAGGTATAAACCCAAAAATGCCAAATCTAAACCGTCTAAGCTCCGATCGGTGGGAATAAGGGACGTTAAACATACAAGAGAGAGAGAGTGTCTATTTTAGTTGGACGTACCTAAGAGTATTGCAGTTTTTAAGATGAAACGCCGGTGGGCACAATAGTGTTCACGGTGAATACCAGATTACATACGGTTTTGTCTATAATAATGATAATCATATTCTCAAATAATTATAGCAGCAATGTCCATTACTTTTATCGGTGGCGTTTAAAAAAAACATAAGCGTGCGGCGCTGACACAGTATAAACAGCTATAGTTACATACAACGTTCGAAATGATCATTAGTCCTAACTGTAAGTACGACAAGGAAGGCGATTTTCAACGTTTAAAATGCCTCGTAAAACCTTATGGCTCGTGAAAATGCACATTGTTACCGAACATTTTTTATTTAGGAACAATACACAGCCGGATAATCAGTTACCAACGATATTATTGTTATTATGGACAGTGTTCAAAATTCAGCGCAATGTACAATAGTAGGTACTTGAAATGAACGACTAAACACGCATTTAAAACGATAGTATTTTTGTTTTGTTTTTGCCATCATTCCCCAAACAATATTACAGCACATAAGCATAATGTTGTATGAATGATTTTTGCACTTTAGACTTAAGATAATATACCTCTGTTGTTGCAGTTAAAACAAAAAACTGATAATTTGGAATTTTCGTTTAATTTTAGTTAAAAAATAATCATTAAAATATTAACCACATAATCATTCGAGCTGAACATGCCTTTCGTTTGAAATAATTTCGCATTATAGAAGTTGCATAATTAGATTACTAAATTGTTTTGTTGTTTTTTAATGTTTTTGTTGACTATTGAAATATAATCATTGAAAAGATTATTAAGAAATTTTGGCACTTTAGTCTGTTTAAAATAGAATGATCAGCAAAGTGTTAAAATGTACCCTTGTAAGCATATTCATTGATGTATAAATGAACGAGTTTGTGTAACGCCTAGCACTGATGTATTGGACGTTTAACGAACAGTTTACTATCTCTACTGATCAGTTTTTCAAGTTTGTTTAACATTCAAATACAATGGCAGCACAAGCAACTGTTGTGTTGGCGATGGTCATCGCGGCGTTGGCCGTTCAAGTAAGTCTAATCCGAAAAATTATAATCATTTAAGTTTTGCTTTTAAGAGGATGCTGTATCATAATTTATTTATTTTTTAAAGAATATAATATATAACGCTATACATCATACGGGTTGGGATAAAAATAAACCGTGCTTTTTTTTTTTTTAAATAGTTGTTCTACATGATTAAAATATAAGCATTGTGGTATCTTCTTAAGATTAATGACAAATGGCATTACGGTTCGATCACATTATCGTTATATATTTTTACCGCACATTTGTATTCAACCGAAAATATGTTATACATAATATAACTAACGTGTAATTGTATATCTGACCACAATGTAATTTATTAATTTTTTCTAATATTGTTTTTTACTTCTTCCCTACGAACAAATAAACTTGTACTAACTACCACGGAAACAAATACATAATTGGTTCAGCTGAAATTATGGTTAATACATGTATTGTTGTAAGAACCAAATAAATAGTTGCTTTAACTAAACATTTAGTTGACCAAACTATTTATATTTAGCTGTTATTCTAACTACAACTTTATTTATAAATTACAAATAATTTTAGTTGATCCAAATATATAATATTCCCGTAAATAACTGTACAATATTTTATGTATTGAGTTCAGAAATATTTATAGCGCATTTTAATAACCAACAATAATGATTATTATATTTTGTTATTATACAGTTTTTTTTTAAATCAAAAAAATGTTTATCGATAGAATTACATAAGTTAAATACCGTCAAGTTCTATTTAACTTTTAAATTGTATCATACGAACAGCTATACAAATAATTGCAGATTCGACACAAATGTATTTTATTTTACTTAGTCAATTGGCGATAAACGACGGTATAGAATTTTTCCAGTTGCCTTTTGTATTTGGAAAAAAATAACGGTATTTCGGGATTATACTCAATGTTTATAACGTTTTTTTTTTAACATTTTCGTTTTTGTTTTTACTATAGTTTTTTTTATCACAACATTTTTGGGTTATTAATATTTTTGTATATAAAGTTTTTATTTCTCGTAATAAAAAAATGGCAAACGCAAAAGTCTTCTTTGTGTGTACCGCATAACATAAAATAGCGGTTTTCGGCGAAAGCATTAAAACAACAAAATCACAACCATTAATATGTCGTTTGGCGGCGAAATCGACAAACTTACCACAAACTATGACAGGGTCCAGGATAACACCATTTATCTCGGATTCCCTCCACCTCCCCCCCCCCCACCACGATAGCACTAAGTATTTGAGGTATTAAATGTCTTAATGTACTCATAAAACGAACGTCTAGACATCTATAGCCGTATACTGTTGTAAATATGACAGTTATAATTTGTCTTCGAGGCAGTCGCCTGTGGTAAAGTTTGAAATAATTAAATTCTATCTGCCGTTGTACCGTCCTACTACAACAGTATAACATTAATTATTATTATTTCATGAGGTACGTTTGCAAATTTCGTTATATTTATGTTGTATAATATGTACGCCATATTACTAACCCTAATATTATTCGATTTAAATTGTAAAGTCTTCGATTAGAAATGAACAACAAACATCTCGAAAAAGTAGAAACGATCGCAAATGTCAAAAAAAATTTCATTCAAATAATTAGTATTGGAATAGTCCAAACGAAACCGACAAATAAGTAAAAAATTTCTAGTAAAAATGTGAGCAAGAAGAAAATTATTAGTGTGTATGATTTCTATTGGAACACACATGGAATGGACTTATCTCACGAATACACTCATACTATGTTGTAGTCACGTGTCGGCAATAGAGTTTAGAAAAAAAATTCTCATTCCAAGATACCAATCGATTAATATAAAGAAAGACTGTAGTAATTTTGAAAATAGACACATATTGAACTCCTTACGAGTGGCTTTTATTTTTATTTCATTTATTTGGATTTCTGTAAAATCCAAAACTCCGAATATAAATGATCAGTTAACCGCATTTGATTTTTGATACTTGATTGATTTAATGTAGATATTAAATGAATACAAACTTCAATTAAAAGTACAATATCAATATGTGTAACAATTAAGAAAAACTAACAACGAACACGACTAGAACTTTGATTAACAGCAGCTATTGGCCAATTATAATACACCATATTTAACAATACTAGAAAAAAAAAATGTTTTATGTAAATTTTGTTTCATTGAACATTTCCAGTCTACCTATTCGATGAAGTCTGCTGGAGGTTTCGACGGCGTTTGTGCAAGGCGGTTGGATTCGATGGTGGGACAAACCGAGTCCACCGTAAGTAGTGAATTTCCACACGTCGACGTTATGCGCTCAATATCATCATAATATAGTTTTATCATGTTAACAATCTACTTGATCCCTGTGCTCACTGTAGACGAATGGGATCCCGTTCTCTTGGGGACCAGAATACGAAGTGGCCGTAGTGTACGTCACCAGCAAGTGGGCCGAACTTAACATTTCCAACAAGACGGCACTGATGGCAGCCTCCAAGAGCGCGTTCCTTACTTTCTGCGTTCACAACAAGAACATTCTTAACAACTTCATGGTTCAAGTAAGTCGGCGCACGCATTATTATGACATTATTATGCCTTTCTACTTTACTAGACGCGCTCGAGTAGTTCATTTTGACACTGGCCGTCCCAGCCGTGTGTTTATGTACACTTACACAGTATGGTTTACCTGTAATTGCGAATTTACAGGTAAACGGCAATCAAAACGAAAGCCAAGAAGTAAAGGACGACGTGCTCGCTTGGTACAACTACGCCGTTGGCAAGTATGTCGACAACGACAATTCATTGCCAAAGGAGGGCGATGCGGATTATACACCAGCGTTTTACATAACGAAATTCCAAAATTCATACTATCATTTCATCAACCGTGCCAAAGTCACTTTCGATAAAACCAACCTCGACGACACCAAGCAAGAAATGGATGATATGTCTAAAAATATGATGGACATGTTGTTGGAAACCATAAGGAATCTTACAGTAAATAATACCTACTTAAATACTACACGACGCAGAAAACTCTAAAAATTATTTAGAACTTAATAATACAAAATATGTATTTTTTTTTTTTTTTTTGTTACAGCAACAATTACGTCAGCTCCAAAACAACCAAAAATCAAACGACATAATTGCGTCCGAATTGTAATCTTTGTCTGTATTATAATTTAACATTGTTATGAATTGCAATTTAATTACAGAAATTTAACAGTTTTTAATATGTGGTAAAAATGTTTTGAAAAAACCCAATTATCTTTCCGTTGTCTTTTCCTAAAAAATAAATGGTTTCAAGTATCAGTTTTTTTTTTCATTTTAAGGCGTTGCCTCGTCTTTAAATGCTACTGTAATCACTACAGTAATTATAATAGAATATTGGAAATGCGTTTAATAAGAATGTTATTAGTGGGCATGTGTTCCATTGGAACACAGGTATTATGTCCATATTGAGTCAATGCAATGTTGTTTAAACGGTATTGTGATACAATTGTTTTATAATCGCAATTACACAATTGGTAATCATAATAATATTCTGTTAATTATAAAATACGTCACTGCATTGATTTAGTTCTAACGTGTAGCTCTACCTTGTATAAAAGCGATGACTATTCAGTATTTTTTATCATTTTTTAGCAGTACATCCAACGTAAAGCTATATTATAGCTCATAATCAAATTGCAATTTTTGAACCTCAATGAAAGTACAAACCATTCGTTTGCTATCTTTCGCCTTTATTGTGACGATGTCCGTTCAAGTAAGCCATATTACAATGATTATTCATAAGGGTTAATTTTTTTTTTTTTTTTTTAATTGTGTATTATGATACTTGTTGTAAAATCAGGTTGTTTAAGTTATGCTTATTTTATATTTTAATTTACCAGTCTAGCAATTCTTCGGTGTCTGTCGATGGCGTTCAGGACAAGGGACTTGGGTTAAACCACCTACAATCGCTGATTGGAGACACGATAACATCGGTAAGTACACTACCATACATTTATAAAGTTAAAACAATGATGTTCAGGGTAATATAATATATTTTATCACTATGATTGTGCGTTTACATATTGCGTAGACCAACAATTTACCGTTCGCTTGGGCCAACGAATACGAAATCGCCATAGTGTACGTTACCGGCAGGTGGTCTGAAATTTCCGTTCCGGACAAGGCAGCACAAGGGACAATTGCCAAAAAAGGATACCTTTCCTACAGCGGTAAAATCAAGACAATTTTATTTGATTTCATGACAAAAGTACGTAAAAACGGTTTTTTTTTTTAGCAAAAACTAAGAATATATCAAAATATTAAATTGAAAAAAAAAAATAATCAATTCAACATTTTTAAATGTTTAATTCTTTCAATACAATTCTATTTATTTCGAATTTTAAATAAACTTTAACGTTATATAACATATTTTATATTATATAGTTTTACAATGAAATGAGTGTTCAGTGATAAATATTATTACCAAACCATTTGTATTATTATTAACAACATGATTAACTCTTCTACTTGAGACAGTAAACAAAACAAAAAAATTGTACTATTATTGACATAAACCAATAAACAGAAATGCACTAGTATGTTTAATGTTTACCATATTAATTCCTCGTTGCAACAGGTGAATGCTAATCCAAAAGAGACCGAAGTATTGAAAAATGACGTTGTCAGTTGGCACCAACACATTGCGGACTTGGTAAACCGCGATGGAGCATTGGCTAAGGATGCCGACCTGGCATATTATCAAGCGAAATTTAATAACTCATTCCGTCATCTAACCGTCAAGGCTAAGAACGTAATTGGTCACACACTCCTCGAGGAAACCAAGAAAAGTGTGGATGACGTGGCCAAAGAAATGATGGCCGTATTGCTGGAAACAACAAAAAATATTTCGGTAAAATAATAATACACCTGATCCAATATCAACAGTATACTAAACAAAACTGCATCTATGTTACAGAAAGAATTCCGGGAACTCGCCGACAAAGAGTCAGCAAAGAATTAGAAATGAAAAAATATACATTTTATTATCACATATTTTTTAGTGTAGAATTTCAATATAGAATAGTTGTTTATTAATTGTTTACCTTCTTGAAATTTACTCGGATTTGATAAAAAAATATTAAAAACGCTAAAGAACTTAAACAATAATATTGTCGTTAGTCATTTATAATGTTCCCACCAGTTTGCACATCTCACTAGATGTCAAATTAATTAGCGTGAGAGTATTAATTGATCATTGGTACCGACAGAACCATTGTGTAATTAGTTTTAATATAGATATGTATATTTTACTTATGAGCGCAATAATAATAAAAATAAATATAATCCATCATAATAATATATTTTATTGTAATTTTTTGGAACACACATTATGAAAAAAAAAATTGTATTATGCAATCGATGAATATTTATAAAACCCAAATGAAAAAAAAACAAAAGTTTAAGTTTCTACTATTTTATGAATGCAAAATTGCTGTGCAAATTACCATCGTTAGTTTGGTGAAAAAGTGTTTAATATTATAAAAAATTATTTTCGTTTCTATAGGAAAGGTTTCTTTATTTTTTTTTCTAAATAATCTTTTATAATATTATTTAATTAGATCAAAGACATTAAATTTGGTAGTTAGCTGATTGTTACGGTATCCCATCTATACTGTACAAAATTATACAGCAAAAACAATTTTTTTATTGACAAAAATCCAAAAAACTAATCAACATCCGTTAAGAATACGATTTTATATTATTTGAACAGTTTGAAGGTTGCCGACTATTTTATTATATAATACATTCTACAGTCTACAACTAGAAGACGATTGAGAATTACTTAACTTTACATGGATCATAATTATTAACATACATCCTATTTTTTAGTATGGTTATATCTGGGTTAGATTTTCTACAAAACATCAGCTATTTATTATTTGTACATACTATTTGATGTATACATATTATGTGAAAGAGTGTGAATCATATGACTATTTTAATTGTCACTTGGACTCACATAATATATCTTATTGTTAAATAAGAAATCAGTCAACTGTACAATTACAATACAAAATACAGAACCCTATTTTATATCGTAAAAACATAGGGGCTTTTTACAACTAATGTTCAACAAGCGAGTGTTAAAAATTCATATGATAATGTGTTTGTGATTTCTTTCAAACCGAATACAAGTGTTCAGTATTCTGCTATTCCAGTACATAAATTATTAAAAAAGTACCTGTTGGCTCATCTCCTACAACAACAAAAAAACCGGTCGTGTAAAGTGATTGCGTACAACGGGTTTAAAATGTAATCTTTTAGCATATTTCATTAATATTATTTTTTTTTTATAAATTCATTCGTACACCGTACCTATCATTCTTAAGTCTTACGTTTACCGAACAGCAATGCGGTTTCATTTGTTGGCGTTTATCTAATTTGTACACGTCACTCGATCACAATGGAATCACAAAAAAATCGTTTGTTGGTACGTTTGTTGTTTGTCGTGGCGCTGACCGTCCAAGTAAGCCGAAAATAAAGTTGTTATCAATTAGTATAAAATAATATTTTCACCTCAATAGCAGAGATGGGCATGACGTGTATCAATAAGTATCAGTATGTACATTGATGTATTAAAAATGTGTTAAGTATCAGTTGATAATACATCATACTTAACGTGTGTTTGTCAAGTATCAACAAATGTTTGACATTGGTGTATAGCCATCAAGTATCATACGTTGTATTATTTAAGCATATACAAAAAAAATAACGATCAATGTCCATCTCTGCTTAAGAAAACGCAGAATCATAATATTTACGATTGAAGTATATTCACACCGTAGCTTATTTGCTATCTTTTATTATTTTTTTCTTCGAAACTTTCCAGTCAAGTTGTTCGGAGTCCGTCGAAGATGTCGACGTGTGCGCCAACCGAACGGCGTCGCTGGTCGGAGATACCATGTGTTCAGTGAGTAAAATTACAGGATGATATTGCCTTATCATGGGCCACTCTCTAGTACCTAAAAATGTTCTTAATTTTAAAATGTTCAATAAATCACCCCGACTGTGCTCACTGTGTTAATGTAGTTAAACAACGTGCCGTTTGTGTGGGCGCCGGAATACGAAGTGGCCATAGTGTACATTACTTCCACGTGGTCCGAAATCGCCACTTTCAACAGTTCCGCAGAGGACACCATTGCCAAGGAAGCGTTCCTTTCCTATTGCGTTAGATTCAAAAACAACATGTTTAACTTTATGAAAAAAGTGAGTGGACAATTGGCACGCGTTAACTAGATTAAGTACACGGTTTAGACACAGTAAGCACAACGAAGGATTAACTTTTGAGCGGTTTTCCGTGATTCGCGCTAACAAAATGTAAGCAATTGTGTTTTCAATGTAATTCGGGCGTTTGTTGTCACAACAATAATCTCATCGTCAAATAGTCCATTGTTTGGACTCCGTTTAACTCGTTCAACGCACTGTGATTTCCAGGTAAAAAAAACTGTTAACCACCAATGCGATTCATTCGACCAAACCTTAAAAAGCGCTTTACCGCTAAAACATTGTGGGGAAAAAAAAAACGACATTAACGCTGATGACAAGTGGTTTATTTCACACAAACATCTTTAACCCCCTCCCCCCCCCAAAAAAAAAAAACCAGCAACGTTATAAAATTAATAATAAAAAAGTAAAAATATTTAAAGATTTTGACAAATAACGCGTTTATCAGTCTGTATTTTTTTTTTGTTTTAATAAAGTAGGTGATTTTTTAGTAAGTTAACCGCAAATAGGTATTTTTACTAAACTCGCATAATCAAAATTGAATAAGCAACTATTTCACTCGTTCGACACACGAAATATAGTAATGTACAATTTTTTACAGTACACTATAAATATTATAGTATGTAGTATATAGTAAGTAGTAGTTTTTGCATAACTATTCGAGTCGTTTTGGCTACCGCGGTTATGGTGATAATAATAAATCGAACACGCCTGAAAGTGTAATATAATGTCAAGATAAGTAGTACGGTGTACGGTGTTATTATACATATTATTAAACAGTTGCATGAGTCTGTATGTCTGTATCTAACGTGGTTTTGTCACGATGACGTTGGTAAACTATTCTTATTCGGGTATTCATAAAGATTACATTATATTATTATTATACCGCAGTTGCACGACGACCCGAACGCGAACGAGAAAGTGAAAAAAGCCATTAACAAGTGGTACCAAGCCGTAGACAGCATATCTAAAAAAAATTGGTTTTTGCCAGTAAATCCGGATTTGCGACACTTCCAAGTACACTTCCCGTCATCCTTCAAGCATTTACTTGTGGAATCCACCGCTGTTAACGGCGAGGCGCCCGATGAAAACACAAAGCGAGAAGTGAACCATTTTACACTGGGAACGGCACAAATGCTGATTGAACTGGTCGCACAGATTTCGGTAAAAATAAAAATCAACCGCACTCCGAGACGGTTTAACATAGAACACCTGAACGCGAGTCACAGACAGAGACGCTAAACGGTTTCGATTATCTTATGTTGCAGAAACAAATCCGTGAAATTCCGAAAAAAAGCAGTGTATAAAAATACAGCCATAGTGTTAATTATAATAGCCGAGTGGCCAATAACGTCAATACACGGCAACAAAATATAAATAAAAATGAGCAAAATAATGACAAAAAGTGTACATTCAATACTTCATCAGTTTGTATAATAAAAACAAATACTGTTATTTCGAATTAAATAACAAATTTGAAAATGTTTTAATGTTAAATTCGTTATTATATCTATGTCGGATAGCCGATCATATTATCTAACGGCAGCCATACACTTTTTAGTGTTATAATAATAAAGTTAGTTATAGAATTGTTCATAATTTTGTCCGGCTAAAATATGCCTACTGTAGTTTTCTGGATTAGAGACGTTGTACTTGCGAGAGAATGATTTTATACTTTTTAAGACACAAAAGATAAAATTTAAGTACAAAGGAACACAGTGAAAAATAAATTAATAATAATAAAACCCCAGAAGCGAAAAAAAAAAACGTATAATAAAAACTTAGATGTTGTTCACCGGGGCTTAAATATAAATTTAAGGTAAAAGCATAATCTATTTTTAATTTTATTTCCGCATAGTAAACATTATTATATTAAGTTTCGTTTTTTATATTTCATACATCTTAGGTTGTATATTTCATTTGTATAAACATTATTCAAAAAGTATTATAAAATCGAAAAAAAAAATGTAGGTAACATAGTTTATTTACCATTACATTTCGAGTCGCTTGGTGATTATTTCATTTTCATATTGAACTTTTCAAAGTTCTAATAAATTGTCATAATACATTATTATACAAGACAATCTATATAAAGTATAACATACAACGTAGCTAGACTGTGTATAAATTAAAAACATGTTCACATTTTCCTTATGCCTGTACTCGAGCACACGTGGTTAAAAGAGATTACAAAATATGGTCTGTTAATTTAATTTCCTGATGAAACAGTGGAATGTTATTCCGGAAGTAGTATGTAAGACTTACAGGTTTAGTTCAAAGTAATTTTACATATTGAATTGTTGGCATTGCATATTGGGATTTTTTGCTAATCGGCTGATTAGAGGTATATTATTATAAAATGCATTAGTATAATAATATTGTAGTATGTAGGTTTAATAAAATAGAAATTGATTCGTTGATTTTTCATTATCAGTTCAACTCCAACGAAAACGAAAAAGTAAAAAAAGCCGTCTTTGAGTGGTATCAACATGTTAACAGTGTTTCGCAGAATGACTGGTACATTACACCGGACGTGTCGACTTTACGGCACTTTGGAGAGCATTTTAAAATTTCTTTCAAGGGAGTAGTCCTCGAGAGCAGTAACATCTTTAATTCAGCGTCCTTTGTAAAAACCAAGCGATACGTGGACAAGTTTACAAGCGGGATCGTTTACACGATGGTCGAAGCGCTGAAAACGATTTCGGTAAAAAAAAAATTTAAAAAAAAAACAATAATGATTTGAAGCAAACCATTTATCTAAACGGAACACATTTGATTTGATTTTTACAGAAAGAAATCCGTGATATTCCAAAAATCGAAACACCGCAGACATAAACAATTCGAATAGTACTTAACCTTGTGATATTTGAATATTGTTTTGTTAATAAAATGGAAATTATCACTTAAGAGCATAGGCTTGTCATTTGAAAAAATATTTGTACTTTATGTTAAACAGATAATGCACTTATTTTGTCATTTAAAGCTGATTCTTCAACCAATGTCTAATAACTTGTTTTAGTAAGCAATCAATCACCTGCCGTTTGTGTCTTATTTTATAATATGATTTAGCGTTGCAAACCTCAAAAAGTTAATATTTTATTTTTAATCAATGTGAAAACTGATGGAGATAGAAATTATTTTAAAATATTATAATTACTTCAACGGTTTTGAAAGCGACCTGCGGTTGTCTCTGTATTTATTTACATTACTTTATTATGTACCTACCGAAACTTGTTAAAAACAAAATCAAGCTGCTATGCACCTAACTGCTTTAAATTATTTAAATGTAGTCTGTAATAGCAGTTGTTGACAAACGATAAATAAAAATAGAATCAAAGCTCACAACAGTTGTAGTTAGTAAACTTTAATATGCTAATTATGTTTTCCTAAGTTCATATCATACCAATTTTCAAAACAACTATATAATAATAATATACTTATAATTATAAAGTGTACAGACAATGCTCAGACAAGTGCACTAGATAATAATGCATCTATCTAATTAATAATTTAAGTTTATTTATAATTACAAATAGGTTATCACCGTTTAAAATATTTTTGTTTTCTAACCTTTACATTTGTTATGCTCGTATAGCGATATTTTCATGTAAAGTATTATTTTTAGATCCTATTTGTTGAGAAATTCTATTACCATAACCTTATTGTACTAGATAACTTAATCTTATTTTGTGCCCGTTGTCTAGACAAACTTCTGCTTTTGCTATTGGCCAACTAATGTTATTATCCTGCTGTTGTATTTGTTAGGTTAATGACGACCAAAACGGGTCAGACGAAACAAAAAAAGACGTAACTAGTTGGTACAAACACATTGAATACTTGGCGAGCAATGGACCGGTGGACCAAGACTTGAGAAGTTTTCAAAATACATTTCAAAACGCATTCAAACATCTCGTCATAAAAGCTAGTCAAGTTGTGGGCAAAACAAACAACAACGAAACGAGACTATACATAAATGATTTCACAAAAGGAGTTGTTGTCATGTTGCTGGAAACAATAAAAAGCGTTTCGGTAAACAATTATTACTATACTTAAGCTGCACGACAACTAAATTACCAAAACACACGCATTAGCGAATAAAACTAAGACGCCTACTTGTGTGTGTGTTACAGAAACAAATCCGTGGACTTCCGAAACAACTTGCAAGCGACCGATAAGTTTAATGCACAGATTTCATGGTAAACTTCATTGAAGACGATAACCGTTTATCAGTTGACAATTAGTGTATTTCTTACGACAAAAGCATTGCAATAATAAAACATGTTGTAACGCGTTCATATATTGTGATTGAAACTTTCTATTGCCATAAACAATGTTTGATTGTCCGTGATTAAAAAAATACTTTAAAATCAGCTCCATTTGCTTACTACTGTCCCAATTGTATAAAAAAAGTAATGCCCGGAAGAACATTTTCATAAAACGCTTAGTGACTAGATTTTTAATTCCGAATTCAATTTACGTTTAGAGTTTGTCGAACGACTAGTACTGAAATGACTGTTAAATTTTATTATTTTATTATCTTAATAGATTTCTTTTATGTGTTAACACGTAAGTGCATATCATATATTTTATGAACAATAAATTGCAATAACAAAACCCAAATTGTCTTGCACGTTTTTATAAACACGACCAGAGTAGTTAAATTATATGCGCCCCACTCTTATTATAGTCTATAATATAGTCAATTGAATGAAATATATTTCTATGAAAATCAAGTGTTGGCTGTTTTTTTTTAGGTTTGAAATGTATTGTGTCGTAAAACGCGTGCGATTCAGCAAAAATATGTAATAAACTAATATAGCGCTCTTATCGGTTTATGATCTTCCGGGATTGAACTTAAATGCATCGACAGTAAAGTGGTTGTTTTTTTAAAAAAAAAATGTGTTTGAATACACGATTTACAGTATTAATAGTTTTTTAGAACCGCTGTTCTTTCTTCGCCTGTAACCTAGTACATATATTTCAATTATTACTTAAACAATCAATGATAACATTTTTATAATATTTGCTTTTCGTGCTATTATTATAGTTATTATGGTTTTTGACTAAATAAACAAACAAATAGACGAAAAAAAAGTGTACGTAATTTCGATAATAATTTAAATATTAAGAAATTAATTGAAAACGTATTTCTGGTAAGAATGTGCATATTTAACTGCATTTTGAGTACTTATTTGTTGACAACAACCCCTTCGGATTTTTGAAATATCAATTTTGTAATCACCAATATCGTGAACGGTATTACATTGAATTGTGTTCACAAAAATCCACACGCTGTATTAACGTTATAGTGCTAATAACAAGTATAGATGATAAATTAACATAGGTTATACATAAATCGTAATTAATGCATTCAATGAGTTTCTATATTTTATTCAATTTCAATGCATAGTTAGTGAAATGCGGAAACAGCAATAATAGTACATTTATGTTTGAATCAACTCAAGGATAAACGTTTCGAATAAGAAATACCATTTGGAAACAGTTGTCGTTCATAATTGTATATTGTATTTATTTTTATTTTTATTCTACTTAAGTAATTTTAATCTGTGTGTACAACGTATATTATACTAATGCATTGTTTTACCGTCTTGGTTTTTTTTTTTTAATGCTGATCACAGTTACACGACGATCCTAGTTTGGTAGACAAAGTAAAAAAAGCGGTCATACGTTGGTACGAGGATTTGGATCAGTTATCCCGCAACAATTGGTACATACCGTCAACGTCAAAATTACAAGACTACCCAGGAATTACTAGAACCGCTTTCAAGCATTTAATCATCAACGCCGTTAATGTTTTCGAAAAAGCCAACACTAAAAAAACTCAACTCGAAGTCGGCGTGTTTACGAAAAAAAATGCCAACATAATGGTCGAAGTGCTTAAAACGATTTCGGTAAATATGAATTAAAAAAAAAAATAATAAATAAATAAATACAAATCAATAACTTTTCATTCAAACGTGTTGTCTGTTACAGAAACAAATACGGCAACTTCCAAAAACCACAAGTGAATGACAACAATATTTCTACTTATATATAACTACCTACTATAGCAATATGTATACCTATATTATGTTATTCGTTTGTAATGATTTCAAATTAACCATCGGCAATTATAATCAATTTTTACAAAACGTTGTATTTATTTTGATTACAAAGAAAATTGTTTTATGAAAATAATAAAAAAAAAACAAAGAACTTTGAATTTTGGAGTAATTATAGGAAGGTATGCCATTATAATTATAATAATTGTATTGAAGATTTTTTTTTTCTAACATAAAACATCTACTAACACAAATGTAGATATATAATTTTATGGAAATAATAATGTGGAATTGAAAGAAATTGAAATTAAAAGTAAGATGCCGTTTACATTATTGTGTCGGTAAATCGATTTCCGGTTATCATGCTCGTACAAAATGTATAATTTTTTAAACTGTCAAAATATTTCCGTAAACATCACAAATATTAAGATATAATGCATTTTAGTTTGAGAAAATATCCAAACAATAGTTTTTAAAACATTTAAAAGTGACGTTTACCAAAAGCTACCGTATTGTCTACGGTGAACCAAAACTAAAATTCCAATTGGATTTAAGCTCGATGGATAAATTTTGAATTTTCTCCCGGTACTTGGAATCGTACAACTTGCATAGTACACAATGTAGACTCAAGGCTTTATTTTTTATTACCATGAGAATTCGGATCACGAGCGCGCGTATCTACAATGAGAATTGTCAGACATAAAAAGAATTGGCCGAAGAAGAGATTCGTCGTTGCATTTGGTTTGTAAATTGAACAGCGGTTTTAGTGAATCCGTTTTATTGACCGACGCAGCTTTGTTTTCAGTGAAAACCATCTTATATATATATTAAGGGTCTTGTCCTCTGTACATAAGACCACGTCAAGCGGAATGCGACAAAGAAAGTCTGCGGTTGAACTTAAATTAGACCTTTAAATATTTTCACGAGGAAAGCAAATTATATACGATTTGGATTTTAATAATTAAAATCGCCACATGTATCATATTTGTATAGCTCTTTTAATTTATACATTCGATTTAAAACGGCCTATCTGACTTTTGGGAAATGTTGGTAAATGTTAGTTTAAGTGTTTATTATTCATAAATTTTTGTCAGAAGTGAGATACTTGCATCGATAGTAACAAACATTTGTCGATACACTATTAAATGATTCGAAAATACAATGTTTTATTGTAATTTTGTAATTTTGTTTAGTAGTTTGATATTGTCGAAACTTGGTTTAATGGAATTTAACGGACTTGTACCTCAGATGACACAATCAAACAGTGTTTATGTGTCAAACGCGAACAAGATTATTATATACATTAAAAAAAACGATTTACTTTTCTGATAAGTCAGATAAAGGATTAATATATTTTGCGGCGATCCAATTGGGCGTTTTATGATACCACAAGTACTTTAGTGAATGTAAGAGCAATAAAAGTAATATTGTTTCTTGTCAGTTTGAAATTAATGTCCTCAAAGTTTTTGACACCAAAGTACGATTGGTGGAAAATTCAAACGAATAATTTTAAGTTTTCATTCAAAATTTTTCTAAACCAGAATAGTATAAAATATCAATGTGGTATTGAAATAAATTTCGAACTACTGCAATTGAACTACAATGTTCTAACTAATGGTTAATCATATTTGAAACTATTATTTTCTTATTGAAATAAAACTTTAATTATTGTATTATAAGCTATTATACAATTTACCTATGTAATGCAAATAGATAAATATATTAAGTTCAGCTGACCATAGGTACCTGATAACTAATTATGTTAATTATTAGATTATTCTATGTTATATTAGACTACACAGTATTTATTGGAGGACTCTTTGGTGTTATTTATAACACAATTTCATGGTGGCTAAAAAGGGTGGGGTCCCTTGTTTATTAGAATCAAGTAGCTTTGTCGAGCGTGGCCTATGCATGTTTCAGCGATGACTGATGATCGTATTCAATTTTCTTAAAACGTTTTCCACTTTGCTTTAGTTTGACCGTGTGCCGGATTTGTGTCATGTTAATAACATCCATATTTTATATTCTTATAATAATACAATATATTATACTAGACATTTTTTTATAATATGCTTCTTCGTCGAGATCCGAGAGTGCCCAAATTGTTTTCTTACTACGCGTTTCAACTTAGATGGGTGATTTTTGAAAGAAAAAAAAACTCGAGACTGCAAAGTTGAACAAACAAGATTTTTATTTAATAGCGAAAACTTATTCAAACAAACGCCTCGTGATGTTGTTTTGACCGCGTGAACAGTTGACAGAACGTTAGCGTCGGCGGTGTTGTCAGAATCTTAAACTTTTTTTAAATGTATAAAAAGGAAAAAAAAGTTTCAAATTTCTTGCACTTGTAGAAAAAAGAAAAGCAATTGGTGCGACAATACCAGGGTTGGCTCACAGTGTAGCCGGTGTACGACCAAAAATGTAAATAAAATGTGGAACCGAATGTGGAATAACAGTTTTTTGTGTCTCTCTTTTTTTTTTTTTTAAACGGTTAATACACCTAGATCAGACCTAGGCGTTACTCACGGCTGGTATCATATTGTTATCATAGAGTAGGGTAACCGTTGGTCGGCAGTAAATAAACAGAGGCTTGCGCTCCCAGTGAGCATTATTAAAACGGTTTTCAGATTTGGCCAACAACCGTCTATGTGTGGATTTAACCCTTCGGCATTCGGTTTGTTTTTTCACTTTTCCGTCGTGCTATTTGAACACGTGGTTAACAACAACGTCCTTTATATTGAAAAATCAGCAGCACGGTGTAGACAGTAGCGCCGCTATACCTACCTACCTACCTACCTACACCCACCGGTCGCAGCTATTTTGGGAGAGTTATGCCGCGTAGCGGTGGCGGTGTTGATGCGAAAACACGGCGCACCGGGCAAACCGTGACCAAG